CCCATTTATTAATTTTATTGCATTTTAGGTTTTGGGGTACATGTGAAGAACATGCAAAATTGTTGCATAGGTACACACGTGGCAGTGTGATTTGCTGCCTTTAAAACATTCTTAATAAATTCTCCAAGGGAATTCTAAAGCAGTGACTGTTTCAAAAATCATTTAGCTGGGCGGTGGCATCCACCATAGTCCAAAATCATTTAGCTGGGTGCAGTGGCATCCACTGTAGTCCCAGCTATTTGGGGCCGAGGCACAAGGATCACTAGAGACCTGGACATTTGAGACCAGACTGGGCAATACAGCAAGACCTTGTCTCCAAAATATAAACAAAATAATTCATATTTGGAGTTTAGATGCTACTGTATACAGGAAAACATAGGAATTGAAGAGGAGAAAAATGGTGGTATGGTGAAGAGCACTGGCTTGGGAGATGACAGTGCTGAGTGCAAATCCTAGCCTGCTGCAAGGTAGACAACTTCCCAGAGTCTTGGATTTTCCCATCTGTAAAATGAGGATAATATCCACTCAGAATTGTTGATGACTCTACGTGATGATGCAAATAAAGTAAATAGCAGTGTTAGGCATACAGTAAAAGTTCAAGAAAACCAGAATTGATTTTATTATTTATTTATTTCTTTTGTTGAGATGGAGTTTTGTTCTGTTGCCCAGGCTCGGCTGCAGTGGCACGATCTCAGCTCACTAAAACCTCCGCCTCCCAGGTTCAAGCGATTCTCCTGCCTCAGCCTCCTGAGTAGCTGGGATTACAGGTGCCTGCCATCACATCTGGCTGATTTTTGTATTTTTAGTAGGATGGGGTTTTCAGTTGGCCAGGCTGGTCTTGAACTCCTGACCCTCGTGATCTGCCTGCCTCAGCCTCCCAAAGTGCTGGGATTACAGATGTGAGCCACCGCGCCCAGCCAAAAAATCAGATTTTACAACTCAGACATTACTCCTTTCCGTCTCTGATTTATCAGACTGGCAGGTGTCTGGCAGCAGAAACAGAAGTGGACTTACTGGGGCCAATTCACATCATGGAAAACTGCATGAGAGTTTTCATTAGACATCAAACCCCTGGTGAATCTGTGTGGCTCTAGAAACACTTTTGTGGAAGGAGAACTAGCCTTTATAAGCTTGTTTTGAGTACATTTCACTGAAGTTAACTTTTTCAAATCAGTAAAGATGATGGGTGCATGGATGGGACGGTACTCTGAAAAATCAGGGAGCGTCAGAGAAGTTTAGAGCTATTAATAGAAAGAACATCAGCAGTCTTTTGGGGAAATTCCCTCATTTTCTTAAAAACAGCAAATGATGAGGCCAGTCAGAGGTCAGACTCCATGCTGCTCCCAATACTCCATGATGCAGTTCTGTGCCTTGATTTAAGGAGGATCTGAAAGAATGTTACGTTAGCTAAATGAGATACAAGATCTTATTTAACTCTTAAAATTAACTCCTAATATTAGATGCAGGATTCACTTTAACCACAGATTTTCATCAACCATTAAATTCATTAAAGTACAAAAACAATAAACAACAACAAAACCCAAAAACTAAAGGACAAAAAAGAAAGAAAAGCTAAGGGCAAATTGCGTTAAAGTGTTGTAGGTGAAGGGCATGTATTTTTGCCAAACAGTAGCTAAATAATTTATCAAATAGCATTTATGATTGATAAAAGCATTGATAAAAGAATGAAACACTAAATTGTATAACTGCTATGGATTTTATAGTTCAGAAATACAAACAACAGAATTAGAGCTAGACTTCTTGGAACAGAATCTGCTATTGTGTTAGCTGTCTGGGTGTTTTGAAAGACAAAAGCATTTCTATAGGAGAAAGAAGAGAAAGTTCTCTTCCATCATTGAAAAGTAAGGCTTCTGTTTATGCCTTTAATTCATCTTGGCTTTTAAAAATTATTGTTTCAGGCATTGAATTTGCATTCCTTTTCTTTTTTTTGAGATGGAGTCTCGCTGTCTCACCAGGCTGGAGTGTAGTGATGCAATCCTGACTCACTGCAACCTCTGCCTCCTGGGTTCAAGCGATTCTCCTGCCTCAGCCTCCTAAGAAGCTGGGACTACAGGCACGTGCCACCACACCCACATAATTTTTGTATTTTTCGTAGAGATGGGGTTTCACCATGTTGGCCAGGATGGTCGTGATCTCTTGACCTCTGATCCAACTGCCTTGGCCTCCCAAAGTGCTGGGATTACAGGCATGAGCCACTGCACCTGGCCTTGTATTCCTTTTCTTTGAAAGAATGAAAAGAAAACAAGACTGGAATTAAGGTAATCATTAAAAAGAAAAGAAAAAGATGGAATTTTGCAAGATGATGTTTTCTATGTTGGCTGAAACGAAATAGCTGGAAAACAGCAAATCCCAACAAGTTAGAAAAACACCATTTTTTTCTTTATTAGTAAATGGGGAGATAAAATATCATTAAGAAAAGCTATCATATGTTATAAATGGTAAACAGTCCTTTCAGCCTGGACATCTGGAGGTTGAGAAGCAGCCCACCTTCTGCTGTGATTTCTGCCAGGTGTTGGTAGTGAATGTCTGTCAATGAATGTAGAAAATAATGATTCCAGGGAACAGAGAACTTGATCAGGGAGTGAATGGTTTTTGGAAATATACAGGAAGAGTAATCTGAAGTTAAATGTCAGTAAAATAACTGATAAAACACAAAATTATTGTAGAAATAAGATAGTGTATCAGCCAACATTTTCTGTGGATTTTGCTAGTAACATGTATTCTTTTAAAAACCAAGATATGCTTTACATATAATAACACTTATTCATTTTTTAAAAAATTGTACAGTTCGGCAAGTTTTCTTTTTTTCCCTATTTCTATTTGAGACAGGGTCTCGCTGTGTCACCCATGCTGTAGTGCAGTGGTGCGATCTCAGCTCCCATTGCAGCCTCCACCTCCGGGGCTCAAGTGATCCTCCACACCTCAAGCTCCTGAGTAGCTGGGACTACGGGCCTGTGCCACCATGGCCAGCTAATTTTTTTGTATTTTTGTAAAGACAGGGTTTTGCTATGTTGCCCAGTCCGATCTTGAACTTCTGGGGTCAAGGGATCTGCCTGTCTCAGCCTCCCAAAGTGCTGGGATTGCAGGCATGAGCTACCGTAACCAGCCTGCAAGTTTTTACAAATGTATGCAGCCATGTTTCTCCACATCCTCATCAACACGTGCTGGTTTTTTTTTTTTTTTTAAATAGCCAACCTAGTGGTTGTGAAGTGATACCTTATAATTAGTTTTAAACAAGTTTACTGAGATATAATTTACATACTTTAAAACTCAGCTATTTTAATGTATATAATTCAATGGTTTTTAGTGCATTCAGAGTTGTGCAGCCTTCATCATAATTTAGGTTTTGAACTTATTCATCATCCCCAAAAGAAACCCCATACCCACTAGCAGTCGTTCCCCATTTTCCCCAACCTTCCCAATCCTAGGCAACTATTAATACTAACCTATTACATGTCTCTATAGGTTTGCCTATTCTGTACCTTTCATATAAATGAAATCATATGATATGTGACTGGCTTTTTTCACTTAGCATAACATTTTAGAGTAACATTCATGTTGTATGTGTCAGTACTTCATTTATTTTTACTGTGTAATAATATTCTATTGTATGGATATACCACATTTTGCTTATCCATTCATCAGTTGATGGACATTTGGGTTGTTTTCACCTTTTGGTAATTATGAATAATGCTACTTTGGACATTTGTGTACAAGTGTAGATGTATGTTTTCATTTCTCTTAAGTCTATTCCTAGGAGTGGAATTGCTGGATCATATGGTGACTCTATGTTTAATGTTTTGTGGAACTGCCAAACTATTTCCCAAAATGACTGCACTATTTTACATTCTTATCAGCAGTATGTAAGGATTCTAATTTCTATACATCCTCATCAACATTGTTATGTTCTGTCTTTTTCATTATACCCATCCTGGTGGGTGTAAAGTGGTATCTTGTAATGGTTTTGATTTACACTTCTTTAATTAATAATGATGTTGAGTATATTTTCTTGTGCCTTTTAGCCATCTGCATATCTTTTTTTGGTGAAATATCTGTTCAGATCTTTAAAATTAGGTTACTTGAAGATGCTTGCCTTCCTATTATGGAGCTTTAAGTTTATATCCTGGATACAAGTGCTTTATCAGATATATATGATTTGCAAATATTTTCCCCCAGTCTGTGGTTTTTCTATTCCTTTTAAATGGTGTTTCTTGAAGGGAAAAAGTTTTAATTTTAATGAAATCTAATTAATCAATTTTCTTGCTTTCATGGATCATGCTTTGGTATTACATCAAAGAACTCTGCCTGGCTTCTGGTCATACAGATTTTTTTTTTCAGTCTTCTAAAAGTTTAATAGCTTTACCTCTTAAATTTAAAACTGTGATCCACTTTCAGTTAAATTTTATGTAAAGTATGACATAAGGATCTAAGTTTATTTTGGCATATGGAAATCCAATTATTCTAGCACCATTTGTTGAAAAGTATATTCACATATGTTCTGAGTGTACATTTCCTGATTTCAAATTGCTATATTTTATTTATGTTAACAAGTATAATAATATTAGGACTATATTAAACAAAGGATACAAGTGGGAAGTTTGGAATTTATGTCATTTTTAATAGAGACTAAAAGCCTGATTTTTGGAGTTGTAGAGTCCTAGGTTAAAATCTCAGTTCTACCTATGTGGTCTTGGGTAATCTTACCAGCTTTAAGCTTAACTCCTTTACCTGTAAACTGTGGATAATAACAGTACTTCCTTTAAAGGCTCTGAATGTATATACAATATAGGGTTACTGTCAAGGTTATAAAGACAAAGGGATGTGAATTGCGGGGTGTGTAGTACATACTCAATTATCAATGATTACCACTATGTGACAATGTGAAACGTTGAATCTTACTCTTCATTCATGTTTTTCAATAACAATTACTGAGATTGTATTCTTGTGATAGGCATTATAACTGGTATTAGGTTAAAAATAAAAATGAAACACATTATCCCTTTTATAAAGTGAAGCTGAAGGAAAAGGCTATTTTGTCTCCAGATGCTTTCCTAAGACCCAGTCTTGAAAGGCTGGTTAGAACATGAAGTCAGTTGCTCAAGATGAAGTAAGTACTACTGAACCAGGCAAAATGTTGACATGCCTCCCAGGCCCGGGTTGTCCTGGCCTCAGGATGCAGAGGCAAGAAGCAGTTAGACTTGTCTGCCTCCACATGGCTGTCCAGAGGCTATGCTGATTCAATTCCATGCTATAGGGAAAAGCCAGCCAGCAGACTAGGGAAAGTTAAGTGTCTAAATTCCTTTAGTCCTAGAATGCCAGCTCGTCTGTGTCATACCCAATACTGTTGTGGCAGTTTCGGAAAGCAAACACAATGATTAAGCACTTGACAGTCAGGACTGGAGAAAAACCAGGCAGATGCATGTCCCTATTAAATTCTTACCTGGTGTGCCCACCAGACCATCAAGTAAGAGAATACTGCAATCCAGCTAATGGCGCCAAAGAACGTGATGGGAAAAAACTTCCTTGATGACTGAAAGACAATCAAGAAGAGGTTAAGAATGTCAGTGTTATCCATCGAGATGGATCTGAAAGTTCAAAGCTAAAACCACCATTGTAGCCGTTTCTCTAGCGTTTCCTGCATCTTAGGATTAGTGATCAAAAGGCCCTACCCCTGATCAAACTGGGACAGTAAGATTCTCCTTTCGAGATGTGAAATTGATAGAACTGAATGATCACAGTGCTGGTTCCTGGAAGTCTTGAAGAGAATGTCTGTTAGTTCCTGCTGCTAGATGTTTAGATTCCCTCTACTCTTGCCCTTTCTAAGGCCTGTTTTTTTTTTTTTTTTTTTTTTTTTTTTTTTAAGATGGGGTTTCACCATGATGGCCAGGCTGGTCTTGAACTCCTGACCTCAGGTGATCCACCCACTTCAGCCTCTTCTTCTTTTTTTTTTTTTTGACCTTTCCTTCAATATTAACACCATATTCTCCCTCTTCCTTTTTCTCTTTTGCTCCAAAGTTTATCAGAATCAGTTTCTATTGCTTGCAAACCATGAATCCTAACAATCCATAAGCCAGAAAACCTATGTGATTAATTCCATTGAACAAGATATGGGAAGTATCAGCAGGTTTAAAAATAGATTGACTCATTTTACAGTCTCACGAATTATCAAGAAAGCCACATAGCAGAAGCCACCACCACAGCTTTTATAGATTCTGGATGATGGCCAGTCTCCAGGACCCTGGACCACACAGGGACTAGAGTAGACAAAGGCAGAGATGCCCAATTGTACTGATTTCCACTGCGGTGGCAGATCAGACATTCCTCTTAAGAAGGTTTTCTCTCCTGTTCACTGACCCAAAGTAGATTATGTTCAATTCTGCTTCTAGATGTAGACTTTATGCTATCTCATTCATAAAGTGTGAACACTTTTAAAGTTTTCTAGAAATGGCCAAAAAATCAGACATTTGAAATGCAGTGTTTCCTACCCAGCCCCACTAAAGAGAAATCCAGGTTTGCATCTTAGTGGTGTTCTTTTGATGTCCTTTGTTGAAAAACTGAGGTCCTTTAAAAACACACTCAGACAGCACAATGCTGTCAGAGAGCCTCTCGCCTATTATTGCCAAACACTTTTTATTTCAAAGCTTTCTACATTGAGAAACAACTCCACATTTTGCTTTGATAATGCCATCTAATTTTATCCAGAGAAATGAATTTTAGAGTTGACTTGGATGAAAGCAATCCCAATTGTCTGAAGGGCTGACCTTGGGCAGTCACATAGAACATTTTCCGTCATGGCTTTTGAGAGCTTCATTAAAAGGAAAAGATAAACTCATATATGGTAATCTTCTGAATGTCAATAATAAGGAACACAGTCTCTATTGCTCCAAACCAGGCTTATGTTTTCTAAAATATATATTTTTTATGATCATTTTCATGGTTGTTAAATTTCACACCATCCCTTCCTTTCTTTAAATGACTGCTGTTTAGTGGGGCCATTTGGTAGCTGGGATGGCTGAAAAGACCAAGCAGTCTTGATTAAATTGGGGAGGGCATCAGGCCACAGCGAGTAGCCAACACCTTACCCTCAAATGCTTTTTCCTGCCCCCTTTCTTTCTTAGAAGAAAAATACTGTGGACAAGGACTCAGATCCCTCCTGGTGACCTAAGTGCTTTAATGGGTAATGGAGGAAAAAAGTAATCATTTTTTTCAAAGTGGAATTGGAGACCTTCACTTCTTTTTTTCCTTTTCTTTTTTTTTTTTTTTTTTTTTTGAGACACAGTTTCACTCTGTTGCCCAGGCTGGAGTGCAGTGGTGTGATCTTGGCCCACTGCAACCTCTGCCTCCTGGGTTCAAGCCACTCTCCTACCTCAGCATCCCAAGTAGCTGGGATTACAGGTGCCTGCTACTATGCTTGGCTAATTTTTTTCTTGTATTTTTAGTAGAGCAAAGGTTTCACTATGTTAGCCAAGGTGGTTTTGGGATGTGCCTACTCAGTCTCCCAAAGTGCTAGGATTATAGGTGTGAGCCACCGCACCCAGCCATTAGATCTTCACTTATGAAAGCACATTTTTCTAAAAAAAATATATATACTTCAAGTTCTGGGGTACATGTGCAGAACATGCAGGTTTGTTGCATAGGTATACATGTGCCATGGTTTGCTGTATTCATCACCCTGTCATCTATATTGGGTATATCTCCTAATGCTATGCCTTCCCTAGCCCCCTACCCCCCAGCAGACCCCAGTGTGTGATGCTCCCCTCCCTGTGTCCATTAAGTTCTCATTGTTCAACATCTGCCTATGAATGAGAACATGTGGTGTTTAATTTTCTGTTCTTGTGTCTGTTTGCTGAGAATGATGGTGTCCAGCTTCATCCATGTCCCTGCAAAGGACATGAACTCATCCTTTTTTATGGCTGCATAGTATTCCATGGTGTATATGTGCCACATTTTCTTGATCCAGTCTGTCATTGATGGGCATTTGGGTTGGTTCCAAGTCTTTGCTATTGTGAACAGTGCTGCAATAAATTTACATGTGCATGTGTCTTTACAGTAGAATAATTTATAATCCTTTGGGTATATACTCAGTAATGGGATTGCTGTTTCAAATGGTATTTCTGGTTCTAGATCCTTGAGGAATTGCCACACTGTCTTCCACAATGGTTGAACTAATTTACACTCCCACCAACAGTGTAAAACTGTTCCTATTTCTCCATATCCTCTCCAGCATCTGTTGTCTCCTGACTTTTTAATGATCGCTATTCTAACTGGTGTTAGATGGTATCTCATTGTGGTTTTGATTTGCATTTCTCTAATGACCAGTAATGATGAGCTTTTTTTCCATATGTTTCTTGGCTGCATAAATGTCTCCTTTTGAGAAGTGTCTGTTCAGATCCTTCACCCACTTTTTGATGGGGTTGTTTTTTTCTTGTAAATTTGTTTAAGTTCCTTGTAGAATCTTGATTTTAGCCCTTTGCTGGATGGATAGATTGCAAAAGTTTTCTCCCATTCTGTAGGTTGCCTGTTCACTCTGGTGATAGTTTCTTTTGCTGTGCAGAAGCTCTTTAGTTTAATTAGATCCCATTTGTCATTTTGGCTTTTGTTGCCATTGCTTTTGGTGTTTAGTCATGAAGTCTTTGCCCATGCCTATGTCCTGCATGATGTTGCCTAGGTTTTCTTCTAGTGTTTTTATGGTTTTAGGTCTTACATTTAAGTCTTTAACCCATATTGAGTCAATTTTTGTATAAGGTGTAAGGAAGGGACCCAGTTTCAGCTTTCTGTGTATGGCTAGCCAGTTTTCCCAACACCATTTATTAAATAGGGAATCCTTTCCCCATTGTTTGTTTCTGTCAGGTTTGTCAAGGATCAGATGGTTATAGACGCGTGGCATTATTTTTGAGGCCTCTGTTCTGTTCCATTGGTCTATGTCTCTTTTTTGGTACCAGTACCATGCTGTTTTGATTGTAGCCTTGTAGTAGAGCTTGAAGTCAGGTAGCATGATGCCTCCAGCTTTGTTCTTTTTGCTTAGGATTGTCTTGGCTATGTGGGCTCTTTTTTGGTTCCATATGAAATTTAAAGTAATTTTTTCCAATTCTGGGAAGAAAGTCAATGGTAGCTTGATGGGGATAGCATTGAATCTATGAATTACTTTAGGCAGTATGGCCATTTTCATGATATTGATTCTTCCCATGCATGAGCATGGAATGTTCTTCCATCTCTTTGTGTCCTCTCTTATTTCCTTGAGCAGTGGTTTGTAGTTCTCCTTGAAGAGGTCCTTCACATGCCTTCTAAGTTGTATTCCTAGGTATGTTACTCTCTTTGCAGCAATTGTGACTGGGAGCTTACTCATGATGTGGCTCTTTGTTTGTCTGTTATTGGTGATTAGGAATGCTTGTGATTTTTGCACACTGATTTTGTATCCTGAAACTTCGCTGAAGTTACTTATTGGATTAAGGAGTTTTTGGGCTGAGATGATGGGGTTTTCTAAATATTCAATCATGTGATCTACAAATGGAGACAATTTGACTTCTTCTTTTCCTAATTGAATATCCTTTATTTCTTTCTCTTGCCTGGTTTCCCTGGCCAGAGCTTCCAATACTATGTTGAATAGGAGTGGTGAGAGGGCATCCTTGTCTTGTGCTTTCAAAGGGAGTGCTTCCAGTTTTTGCCCATTCAGTATAATATTGGCTATGGGTTTGTCATAAATAGCTGCTATTGTTTTGAGATACATTTTATCAATACCTAGTTTATTGAGAGTTTTTAGCATGAAGAGCTGTTGAATTTTGTTGAAGGCTTTCTCTGCATCTATTGAGATAATCACGTGTTTTTTGTCTTTGGTTCTGTTTATGTGATGGATTACATTCATTGATTTGCAAACGTTGAATCAGCTTTGCATCCCAGGGACAAAGCTGACTTGATGGTGATGGATAAGCTTTTTGATGTGCTGTTGGATGGTTTGCCAGTATTTTATTGGGGATTTCCACATTAATATTTATCAGGAATACTGGCCTAAATTTTTTTTTTTGTGTGTCTCTGCCAGGTTTTGATCTCAGGATGATGTTGGCCTCATAAAATTAGTTAGGGAGGAATCCCTCTTTTTCTATTGGTTGGAATATTCCAGAAGGAATTATACCAGCTTGTCTTTGTACCTCTGGTAGAATTCAGCTGTGAAACCATCTAGTCCTCAACTTATTTTTGGTTGGTAGGCTATTAATTGCTGCCTCAATTTCAGAATTTGTTAATGGTCTACTCAGGGATTCGACTTCATCCTGGTTTAGTCTTGGAAGGGTGTAAGTATCCAGGAATTTATCCATTTCTTCTAGATTTTCTGGTTTATTTATGTAGAGGTGTTTATAGTATTCTCTGATGGTAGTTTGTATTTCTGTGGGATCATTGGTAATATCCCCTTTATCATTTTTTATTGCATCTATTTGATTCTTCTCTCTTTTCTTCTTTATTAGTCTGGCTAGCAATCTATCTATTTTGTTAATCTTTTCAAAAAACCAGCTCCTGGATTTACTGATTTTTTTTGAA